TTGTCTTGTAGTGCAGAATAAATTCATGATCACGTCGTTTTTCATCAAATAACATTTATATGTGGTTAGCCATCATAATGTCAAGAGTACATAATAGAGAAGAGTATGACACGGTTTTAACAGCGTTTGGCAGTTTTCAACTTGTAAATATTCTATCAATATGTGAATAAATATATTCAAACTTTACCTTGTTTTCGTCTATGGGATTAGTGTTCTATTGTCTATGACGGAACTTTGGGGGCCGTAAGGGATATTAGGCATCGAATTGTATTCAGCGTGCAGCGTTTCCAGCGTGCTAAAAATAAATGTGCTCACGGCCAGCTAGCTAGCAGCCGATTCCCTTACGGCCCCCAGCGTACCGTCATAGACAATAGAACACTAATCCCATATCAAAGTTTGGTCTAAAACATGCATCCATGCGTGAAAACTGTGCGAAACCGTGTCGTATTCAAATAACTTTTTTGAAGAACACATACGATTTTCATGTAAATTTATGGTGTCATATGATTAAGAGAGATTTTTTCACGCATGGATGCATGTTTTAGACTAAACTTTCCATCGCTGTGCGAAACCGTGTCGTATTCAAATAACTTTTTTGAAGAACACATACGATTTTCAGGTAAATTTATGGTGTCATATGATTAAGGGAGAATCATAGACGAAAACCAGGTAAAGTTTGAATATATTTATTCACATATTGATAGAATATTTACAAGTTGAAAACTATGCAAAACGCTGTTAAAACCGTGTCATACTCTTCTCTATTATGTACTCTTGATAATATGCATAAATTACTGTGATGTATAATAAATGTGTATGAATTTGAATTTTGTTATCGATTCTCATCTTATCAGCAGCCTTGTGACATGAAATTATGAAGTTCCTGTTATCATGAGTTTGCTCGTAGCTACGATGTGTTTCTGTCAACGCTACTCTCGTAGCATTAACATTAGTCGTAAGTGTTATCGTAGCATTAACATTAGCATTAACTTTACGATTTTTCTGACAATGGGCCCCAGGTTTTTACAGATAGATTTTGGTACATAAGTGGATTCCCTGAAAATAACACCATGAGATTTTATAAATGATATTTTGTCACAATACAGTGAAATGAAATTGACATTGCAGTGATGCGCTGCTCCCACAGATTGGAAATGTCCGAAATAGGTTGAGTAAATTGTTGTTACTAAACCAACCTGATTAACGATTTTATAGATATTTAAAGGGTACACAAATACATTGTTCACGTTGCTATCAATCTCCTAATATTTTATTATCTATGTTAATAGGCTTATAATTCCAATGATGATGTCCTACTCGGCGGCTGGAGATTTCACGGTGCCAGGCAAGCTAAAGACAGCGTTAATAGAGAATGCCATCTGGTATGGCAGCTATCTGTTTGTGTTTGGAGTGCTGCTAATATATGTAGCTGTGAAGCCTGAACTGACACTTGACAAGTGAGTATACAGATAGTCAACAAACAATAATAATATAAACAACTATAAAAACAACAATAACAACAACAACTAGCAATAAAACAACAATAACAAGAGATGGCTTAATCTTTGTTTGTCATTTTTTGACAGAGAATTATATAAAGAATATAGAAAAAAAAGTTACCTTAGATAGAAATTATGATGGTTTAGGTTGAGAATGTAATATAATCTGGGTATATATATATATATATCAGAAAATCACACTTAATTATTTTATGAAATATGAACATGCATGTGTGTACGTATCTCTGTTCGGGTGGCAACGTACGTTAGGGCTTGCATGAGTGCACACGTAATCGTCTCAACTTCTGTATATATACCTGCTTGCTACATGCAATCGCTCATACTAGCAGTTATCACGCTGCGACGTGTTGTCGTTTTCCGCAGGACGGGATTGAAAGTGATTCTGGTAACTGCCAGCAACACATGGGGCCTG